CTGTACGTTCACCCCCAGGTGTGCACAGCCTTCCACCAAACACACACAACGCTCTTGGGATTAGTGGGTCTTTTATCTGTGTACTTATAATGGCACAATAGAGCACAAGAGCCTCTCCAGCTATGTGCTGTCTCCACTTGTGCTGTGAAGTTTCAGTAGTAATTTTAAATTTGTGAGGAGGAGATATTTGCAGAAAAACTCTTCAGAACTATCACAGAAAGACAATGAGCCAGAGCTGAGTAGCCAGTGCACTTCTCTGCCTACCCACACACTGTCCAAAACCACTGAGCAGGAATTTGCTAGAACTACATATCTAAAATATGGTTCTTTTCTATCAAGGGAAAACAATAATTCTGAATTTGTGGTAAGAAAAAAGAAATCTCTTTGCTTTTAGGAAATCAGCTACGCATTACTAAGAGGAGAGTTATTGTCCAGGTATCTTTCACTTGACTTTGAACAGTTAAAGACAAAGCTTCCTGACAAAAATAAAGTTCTCAGATATGCAACACGTGGTCCTATAAAGCATCAATATCTGTGTGTGTTTTAATGAGTAACAATGGTTAATCAAAACGAGTCAGATTCTACCTTTTCACAGAATAAAATTAGCAAGCTTGGTATTATAAGGTACAGCTTGAAAGAAATAAAAAAAACCCAAACAAATCCAATTTTAGTAAAATGCTTCAAAACATAACTAGTGCAATCTCAAATCATGCTGCTTAAACCAGACAAAGCCATTAGTACAAAATACACCAAGAATCACTTTGGTTCAATAGCAACTCCAGTCCGTTACCTTGGGATGCAATTACTGATATTTTCTTGTAAAATACTGGTTTGCCCATAGATTTTGCATTTTAAACACAATTACTATTCTGCTCAGTTACAGTAAAAATAAGAGAGTATTTATTAAAAGTCTAAATTCCCATTCTGGCTGGTTTATTCATACTGTATATTTTTAGGTTACTGCCAATGAAAAGGATAAATCTGAACTTTTAATGACACCAATCTAAAGCAACCCACAGATCTAAATTCTAACACAGCAAGTTACTTAAAATGGGAAATCCCCTTTTCTCAGAAAATAAATACTAGTGCTAAGTTCATTTTTTTTGCTTAGTCACAAAGCAAACAAAAGAAAATGTATCAGAAGCATGTCCCATGATGCTTTTTTCAGTGCCCCACAACTATTAATTGTTCTTTGCCCATGATGCAAGCTCAGGTTATCTGCCAGAGTGTTAAAGCAGCTCAACAGACTCAGATTTTTCTCAAAACCAAAGAAAACATTTTCCTTCCGCATTTTTTTTTAATTTGAAGATGGTGGCAAGGCTAGAAGAGTCAGAGTATTAAACACTAAGCAGTAAGGTTAAAAATGTCTTTTGTTTACTCAAATAGGCACACAGAGAATATTTTAAATATAACTTAATTCCAGTGTTAATTGAAATGAAAGCTATTTTGTGCCAGAATTAGTAGAATGATTTTACAGTGAGGTCAAATAGACTGAAGTGAAGATATTTTGAACAAACAGCAAAAGATTTCTGTTGTGCTTTGAAAGAAATGGCTAATAAAAAGGTCTCCAAACTTACTGATTTTTTGTTTTCCTTTTTTTCTTTTACGGTAGCTTTATTCAGTAGAGAGTGGCAAGTTGCCTACAGAACAGAGATGAGCACAAACAAGTCACAGCACCAACTACATACAGCAACAAAAAAACCAATGTTGACTTGTACACAAATTACACAGTAAAATGTAACAAACATAACCAACAGAAAATGAAATATATAAACTAAAGACTGATGATGGAGTTTTTATTTCACAGTTTTATTACATCTTATTTACAAAGCACTAAATACAAAACAAGCAAATGTTGAATTTCAATCATTTCTACTATTTCTGGCTAGATTAAAAGTCAAACCACATCAATGTGCTCGTCATATACAATATTGGGCCTTAAATGGTATATTCAGCTTTCAAATGTATTTCACCATCCCCAAATAATTTCAGTAGTAAAAATAGGAGTGTTATACCTTTGAAATACTTTAACATTAAATTTAGAGTTTTAAATCTTCCCAATGTTTCTCTGTGTGTCCTTCAATTTAGTTAGACCTGTAAACCACCCGGGTTATTCCCACTGGGAGAACTAACACTGCCATAAAACACTCTGTGGACAAAGGAAGAAAAAAAGCCAGCAGGTCTGTGTTAATATTTGAGATTTCCAAATCAAGAGATCTGACTTGACTGTGCTTATTTCTGCATTTCATTGAGATGCAAAGGGACCCACCGAGAACCATCAAATTCTGTGCTATTTCCACCAGGACTTGAGCAAAGCCAGAGCACCTCAGCCTCGTGCACTGCTCCCTGGGCAGAGGTACCTCCTGCAGCTCAACCCTACAGCCTTCCTGCCAGCTGGAACGGGGCAGAGCAGCCCTGGGGAGCCCTACAGCCACCCCTGCAGCTGGATCCACAGCCCTCAGCACTGCAGAGCAAACACACACTCACCTTCAAACCCTCTGTAAGGGTCACACTGGAACTGGGACAGAATTCCTACAACTTGACAATGTAACAGAGTAAAAAGCAAAAACCCCAAACCAAAGCAGGCAGTAAAAGCTACTGTGCTCACCAAGCTGAACTGGAAGTTGTGCAGGACCCATTAATATTTAACCAGTGGCACCTCTGCCAACCTTCTCTGTGCAATTCCCACGGAGTGGCTTCTGAAGCAGTTGGACACACTCTGCTCACCCAGCCACTGCCATACAGGACATTTCCATCCCTCTTTAGTGAGAAAAATCATGTATGTGGGGATTTTCTGAAATAGCCAGCACAAATTCCCTGCAGGAGTTACTTTGATCAGGCTTGTTCCTCACCACAGCCCACTCCTGAACACACATTACCTGGAAGGAGCCAGGTGACTCTGTCACAGGAGCCACTTATTGATGTTTCCAAAGGAAAACACTTACTGGGCTCTGTTCCCAAAACAGAAACACCAGCCAGCATAGAAACCAACATCCAACTAAAGATATGTTTCTGTGATGTTGCTACATTGATTAAAATTAGTTATTAATCATTTAAAGAACACACCTGCTGAGTACTCTTTGCACACACAGCTACTTTAAAACTCTAAGAACTAAAACACCCCACAAAATTCAGTCTCATTTACTTTCACACTAGTGCTTGGCACGGAACACATTCACTTTATTAAAAGTGAAGTTATCTATAAAAGTCACCTATTTGGTTTTTATGATAAAAATGGATTAATACTCCCAAATCAGATCTTGACTGTACTTTCTTTCAGATAAAGGCCAGACTCTTCAAAACTCCCGGGAATTTTACGTACAGAATGAATTACTACACTATTTGTGATGAACAAACACTTGTACAAGGATATAGGTGTTACCAGAAACAGCTAAAGTAGTAAACATTGAAGCTGAGTATCAGTGTATATCACTTGTATATTTGCCAGTAAATCATCTCTTTTGGGAACAAATTACCCTTATTACCAAATGCAGTAAAGGCAAGAATAAAGCCAACAGACTTGGAAAGGCTTCCATAGAAAAATCCCTGGGAATGCCCACTGGTAAGCACATTTTAGAAATACCATTTCAAGCAGGGATCACAAATGGTCTGCACAGAGATAATTTCTAATATTGTACCACTGAAATGGCAATAATCTTGATACCTCCTGGAAACAGCATATAAACCTAATTCTGGGATCAGCTGTGGGGAAATGTAACATCCAATAACAGGAGAAACAACCAAGGCTGTTGTGGGACTTTTTCAGCAACACTCAAATATTCTCCCACTGATATCTGAGACTGTGGCCATGAAGGAAACCAACCTGCCCATTTCATTTCCTGATTTCAGCAACCAAACACAGCAAAAAAAAAAAAACAAAACCACCCCCCACCAACCCAAACACAGCCACTGTCAGGAGGAGAAAGCAATGGCTTTAGAAGCCACTCAGCTGTCAGAGCAACACAAGGCACAGCGTTTGCAGGCCTGGTTCACTGCAGGAGCTCACAGAACAGCCCAGACCACAGCAGTCACAACAGAAACTCACTGCTCCTCTCTCCCAAGCTCTGGGAATCGCAGCAGTTGCCATGATTAACCCAGAATTAGTTCACATAGGTCATAAAATCTATTTTCTTTGCTTTAGACCTGAGATACACTCTATGGCCCAAGGGCCAAAAATAGTTCTTCCAGAGCACTTCACTGAGACCACAGCTCCAATATTCCACCAGGCACAGCATTCCACAGTCCTCCAACAGGACTGGAAACTCTTGCTGATGAGCACTGCGGGGATCCCTACTGGGATTTTTAGCAGCAGCTAAATCCATCAGAACCACACAAAGAGCAAGAGGGACCCAGCAGGACCCTGGGCTCAGCCTGCTGAGCTGCTGCAGGGACACAGGGCAGAGCAGAGGACTGGGGATGGAGCTCAGGGAATGGGGGTACCTAAAAAACCAACATCGAGTCACCTCCTCATTGCCAACCCAAATCTTCAAACATCATTCAGCCCCTGCATTTAGATTTGTGGTTTTGATCAAGTGTCTGAGAAGAGTCTTTAAGAGATGCCCACTGTGTACTGCCCCAAGCTCCAAAGTGCTGGAATTTTACAAACCAACCCCAAAGCTCAGGGGCAGGCAACCACTGCAGGCATACCTGGTATAAACAATGGCACACACTGCGCAGCTGGGGTGGGAACTCCGAGGAAGAATTAATGATTGCCTGAAAAAACTTGTCTGTCATTTGCAAGAGGCTCCGCTGGTTCTCCTCCAGGCTCTCTGTGGGCTCCAGCCTGCAACACACCCACACATGTATGACCAGCAGTGGCACACAGGACACAAACTGCACTCACGTGCTCGGCAGAATCTCATTGCCTCAGTTTTCTTATGGAAATACTTAGGAACTTTTACACAAAGGTTTCCATTGCTATTTCAAACCACATAAGATGCAAATAAAAGGTCACATAAAACCCAGCAATGAACAGGCTGTAGGTGGGATCCTCTCAGACCATTCCATACAAAGGCATGCACACACAATTCCAACTGATAAATGCATTATCAGTTTCATGATGGTTTATCTGAAACGAACACCTGAGGTAGACACAGGTATTTCAGGGTTAAGCTATAAATAAGGAGGCCTATCCTTTGGGTAAGCTACTTAAGAGATGAATACTTATAATCTTTGTAAGAGTTAGAGATAATTCAAAGCAGTAGAGCAACAGCTACTAAATCCAGGTCTTGAAGTGATAAGAGAAATTAAAGCAAAAACTACACATGCCATGCACACATTATCTTGCTTCTGCAGTCACTGACCTATAGGTGCTTTCTGGTTCTGCTGGAAACACCCTTATTAGTGGCCTACATAAAAGCATGAAATAGCAAGTAGGAGAAGAGGTCCTGCAAGGGCTCTCTCTCTTCCTTGCTTTCTCAGGGCTCAGAGGACATGCAGCAAACCCTCTGTACAACCCTCTCTGGGCATGAGGGCAGCAGAGACAAGTAAGGTGTCTGGAAAAGTGAGGAGTGGAACAGTATGAAAGTATGAGAAACATATTTGCAACAAGGAAAAAGGAGCCCTGTTATATTTACAATGCCAGGGAATCATGTTTACAGATAAATACATTTGCTCCTCCCCTTGAATCTCAAACCTTGTTGGATCCACCTCAAAGCTAACATGCTGCCACTCAGGAGATGTGATCACAGTCCTCAATAAAGGTTCCAAAAGCTTCTGCAAGTACGTAGCACCATATACCTGCGTCCAAGAAAAACAAGAACAGGAGGCCAGATTAACACAGCAATCCACAGGAACACTGCAAAGTTCTGTAAGTGTTACAAGAGCCTGAAAACACTTGATTTGTTTTGGCATAAGCCAGATTCCTGTAAAACTGGAGTTTGCATATTATAGTCTCACCCTTGGAACACAACTGAGATCAATATCTACAAGGATTTTAATTCATTTCCACTGTGGAGAAAACTACAGGTCACTAACAACCACAGTACCCAGCAGGGATTCTTTCCCAGAGCAGTGATTCCACACTTTATCTGTTTGTACACAGCTTTTTAAATGGAAAGGGGAGCACAAACAACACCTCAGACTTTGTCTCCCATCTTTAAACCACCAGGAACAGTCTTGCAGCTGTACTGGCCCAGAATCACTCCTATTACTGAACTAGTCAGAAAGGAAAAGGGGCAGTTTCAGGAGGATGTCTCTTTTGAAGTTGTGCCTGTGCATATCTTATCTACAAGATTCAGTTCTTCAACCATTAAAACATAAAAAGAAAACCCCCTAAACTCACAGATGTGAGAGCTGAAATTACCAGGAGCCCAAAGGCACCTCTGTACTGTTCCCACCTGATCCCATTACCCACATGCTTAACCCCACAGCCTGGCAGCTTTGTGTTTTCAGATTGCTAAACTCTTCCTGTTATCAAAGTGATCTGCAGGAGACAAAAATGAGATAATGTACCTTAAAACAGAAAGTCATTATTTTACTGGCCAAGCTGTTTCCTCGGAAGAGTGTCTGCATGGAATCTGCCAGTTCAACCTCCTTTGAGAACATATTCCAGAGGAGCTGGTAGAGCAAGTGCCGGGAATCAAAGAGTGTGACCAGGACACGAGCCAGCTCGTCCTTAGAAGAAGGAAATGTTAATTTGACTCACAGTGAACCAAGGCAAGTATAAAAAAAAAAAGTACTGTGAAAAAACCACCAAGCAGTTTGCACTACTGCTTTATGTTTGCTATGGGGTCTGGCAGGTAAATATCAAACTACACATGCACAATGTTTCTGTAAATGCTCCCCATGCTACTACTTGTCTAAAAATCTGCCTCATGACATCCAGTCATACAATTCATATTATTCAGACAAATAAGCAGTTACTCTGCTGTATAACAAAGCCCAATTCAATCTTGCTAAAATCTAGAAGAGCAAATAGAATCATGTGTCTGCATTACAGCACACACCATTTATTATAACAACTGTATAAAAAAATAACTCCTAGACATTTAACTAGAAATTTACTACAAAAATGCAGTTTATCACCAAGATCTGAATTTAGATTCAGTCCAATTTTTATGAACATCCTAAGAAGGGTTAGCTATCATCAGTGGCAGCTCTATTCTCTGTAACAGACTGTTGTCATACCCTTAATGTTTGATTAGTTTTTATTTCAAGTCTTACTATTTTAAAAAATGTAGGAAATAAAATGTGTGAATCAACTTACCCACTGAGAACAAGGCACCACATTGGCTAAAGCCATAGCAATAGGAAGCTCCCCCTGATCACCCATCATTGTAACCAACTCCACCAATCTCTCAAACCGATCCGCTAGCACTGTTTCTGCTAACGTATCAAATTCTGTCCCCTGCTGCAGAATTTTGGTGAGGACTTCCATAAACGTGGCTCTTGTTTGGAGGTCTTTATGATAGCCCAAGCCTGATTAAAAGAACCCAGAACTACTAAGGAAGATGTAAAAGGAAATCAAATACCAATGTGTCAATGAGGCACTGGGGTGTGCCCGGCCAGCCCCGCCGCCTCACCTATGGAGTGCATGAGGCCGCTGTCGACGTTGGCGTTGAGCAGGTTGGACATGGCCAGCACGGTGCAGTGCCGCAGCGAGGCCAGCCTGCGCGACATGCCGCGCTTGCGCCCGCCCGCCTGCGCGCCCTCGTCCTCCACCTCGCTGCAGTCGTTCAGCAGGTTCATGAACAGCGTGAAGTACCTGGGGAGAGAGCCCCGGGTGGCAAAGCCTGGCCTGCAGACCCACGGCCCACGAGGGGCTGCACCCCACAGTGAACCTCCCCATCCCCCCCACTGCCCACGAGGGGCTGCACCCCACAGTGAACCTCCCCATCCCCCCCACTGCCCACGAGGGGCTGCACCCCACAGTGAACCTCCCCATCCCCACCTCGTCACAGCCCAGGCTCCAGACGTGCTGCAACAACCCCCACCACCGAACTGGGGGGCACATCTCCTCCAACAGGGCATTCCACAGCTGTGCCCTTCCCAAGAGATGCCCTGAGAGTGATGAGGTGGCACAGATACAAATACAGTACCAAAGCAGGCTAACCCCTGCCACAAATGAAGCACACTTCTGCATTAAGCAGAAACAAAGCCAAATTTTCTAATCATTTTCTAAATGAAAATGTTTCCATAAACCCAGAAGGCAGAGATTTGTGAAATGGGACATAGAAGAGGTAATTCCTGATGGAATAACACAATATTTCCACTGAAGAAAAACACAGTTCGTAACAGAAGTCATACAGTGCTTCGATTTAGAGTCATTGTATCAAAAAGTAGTTAAAAAATCACTACTTACTTAAGAAATAATTGAGATTTTGCTTCCATCAACTCAACACCATCTCCTTCCTCAGGCTGGAGTGGAAGCCCAGCAAGAAGAGAAACCACTGCCTCCATACTCGCCTGGTCCAAATCTCTGAAAAATAAAATTTAATAAAATAAAACAAAAAATCCTTTTTTGTTATAGATCTAACTGCAGGTGAAAAAGACACTTTTTAATTAAAAAAAAAAAAAGATATCTTAGTAAAGTTCTGTCCATCATGAAAACATCTCTTACATTTTGTGGTACAGGTTCAAGCACTGTATCTCCTAAGGACAACAACTGCAATCCAGTTTGTCACTAAAAAACCATTCAAGTACAAATTCAACACTGTAATATTTGATGATTTTACTCTTCAGAATGCACCACAAAGATAAAGCTCTAGAGAACAAAATGGTAATTCCTAATGCTAAATCAGAAAAAGTATTAAAAGGAGCCATGTCAGTTAAGACTAAACATTTAATATAATTCTGCTCACCAGAACTTCAGTTACAATTTTTTCTTTTCCTTAACATTACTTCTGCTAAAGGCAGCTCAAGGAGCCAGATCATGCATGGATACCAAATGCCACCTGGAATACTGACAGCAACTTCCCAAACGGGTGAAGAGTGTTCTTTCTTACCTTGTCAAGCATTTCACATCCTCATCTGTTGCTTGATTAGATGTTCCCATAACCCAGTCTGTCAAATATTCCACCATTTTGTTCCTGTTACATATAAATATGTTTCTTTAGCTTTATTGGGGTTTTTTATTGTGGTTTTCTTTAGTTTTGGGGTGGTTGTTTTTAAACACACTTACTACTGCTGGCATCATTCTTAATTATTACAAACTCAGTGTAAGAACTATTTGAAGCACCACACACTGAAGATGAACTGAACTAGTTTTGTCAGACCAAGCAATACCCCGATCTGTGTGACCAGCTGAATTGTTACATGTGTCTAGTATCACCACAATCAAACCAAAATTTTAATGCAGCACCAGGCTCTGAATAATTCTGAAGACAAAGATGACAGAACTATCCCTATACCAGGAATACTGGTGTGACAGAGGTTTTTTGTTTTGTTTTTTAACCATATAACCAAACAAAATTACACTTGCCCACAGTTCATCACCCCAGGTGTTACATAATGTCATCCTTACCTAAATTTCATTTCTTGACAAAATGAAAGGTCATCTCTCCTTTCCATCATTACTTCTACCAACTGACAGAGCTTCGTTTTTATTTGAATGGCATGCACCAAATTTCCAAGCACACGCACATACCTGAAGAAAAAAGCAAAAATACTAATTAAACACTTAATGCTACTTCATATTTCAACCCTGCTCCTGCATCAGCTGAAGACCAGTAGCAAATTTCTTCTGGTCAAAGGAGTTTTCTGTCAGTATAAAACTGAACCCAAATCTGCCCTTCAGCTGGTTTTTAACCATTAACATCAACGTACAAGAAAGAAAGCAGGAAAGCTGACAGGAATAGGGCCAAGCTATGGAATGGTCAGCTCTTTAAAGAATAAAAGTCACTCTCCACCGATGCACTTGATGCTACACAAATGATCTCCATGATTACTGAAGTTGTCAGAACCACAAGGAGGATCAGAAAAATCAGCTGCTGCTTCTCCATGGATGTAAGAAAAGATACAAACTAGAAGGCTCTAACTCACTTCTTAAACATAATTACTGTGTATAGGAAGGTCAAGAGGATTCCTTACCTAACCAGATTTAGCATCATTGTCTCAATACTCGCTTGTCCAAGATGTTCTGAGCTCCCTTCTGTGTGATTGTCGAGCAAATTCTTCATTATAGCAATGGTCTGCTCTACAAATTGTGTGTTGGTGTCAGTTAGCAAAACCTACAGGAAAAAAATTCCTAGTCTTAACTCTTTATGCACAAAACCAAAAAGAGGGATAATACACTGGAGCATTTCAAAAATCTCCTGGACAATTCCAATACATTCCAGATTCAATATATCAGTACTGCAGCCACAAGGATTCTGCAAACATTCTCACAGAATCTGTACCCAAGAGTTCACTAAGAAGTCAAGGATGTTTTCAATTATTTGATGTTAAATACAGCCTGGACTCACACACACAATGCTCACTAACATGTTCTGTGATGATCACACTGCTTACAGGGGGGGTTTGCACAGAACACAGACAGGGACCCATCTAATCACCGGGTGAAGGACACAACTGACAGAAATGTGAATAATATATCACCACTGTACCTGTCCTTGAGAGTCAAAGAACTTGCTGATGGTATTCTTCAGCTTGTTGAAGAGCATTGGGTAGAGTGCTGGGCTCAGCTCCAAGCCCACCAGATCCTTGATGTTGGTGCGGATCTGCAGCCCCACCTTCTCATGGTTGCAGACCATGAGGGTCAGGAGCCGGTCGATGAACTTGCTGACGGGCGTCTCGACGCTGCCCTCGGTGGACACCATGGAGATCATGGAGCCCTTGCGCTCGCTGATGGGGCCCATGGGGGGGCTGTAGGTGGCCAGCCCGGTGCTGCTGCGGTGCTGCAGGCACACCCCCCCCAGGGCACACAGGAACCCTGTCATGTTGATCCACTCCTGCAGCGAGTCCGTGTCCGACAGGTCGATGGAGCCGCCCCCGCTGACGTGGGACATGCGCCTCTTCACAATCGTCTTGTGCAGACTCTCCGTGACCTGCAACACAGGGGTTGGTGCTCAAACCTCCCCGTTAAACACACGGGGAGAGATCAGGAGTGCTCTGGAACACAGCCTGCCACTCACAGTTCCAAAAATTCACCTCTGACAGTGTCCATCTGTCACAGTGTTCACCCTTCTGTGACAGCAGGAACAGAAATCTGTACAGAGGCTGCTTCCAGGGAGGTTGAGAAGCAAGGCTAGAGAGGACTGAAGGGGGTTGCCAGTCAATCCCTTGCTCTGCCACCAGGATAAAGCACATTTAAATCATGGCAGCCATTTGGCTTGTTTAAAAACTTCCAGTGAAAGGGATTTCAGAGTTTCTCTAGCACTATTCCACAGTTTTCCCTACTCTTTGTTTCGATTTATTTTTAATTTTTAAGCTCAGCTTCATTCTCCTCCTCAGCAATTTAAGTCAAATTACTTCTTGGTCTCTGGTAAGGTTTGGAGACTTGGCAGGGAGCCAGCTTCAAACCATATCATCTTATCTGGTGCCCTGACTCCCGGGGGGGCCATCTCAAACCATGACAGTCTCTTAGCAAACAAAGCAGACAACTGATTACCATTCATTTTCTGGAATACTTTCATGGAGTTTCTGTCTGCCTACAAAACTGATTTTCTAGATTAAAATTCAGATTCCTTAAAATATATAAGCTTAAAGAGTTATTTTGAATTTCTACAGGTTGAAACTATGGAAGAGTTCATAGTCACCTGCCCATCTTCCATTTTGGTCTTTGGATAGTTGAGGATTAGTTTTGTAGCTTGTTCCCATTTTGCATGTGTATCCTCCCAGGCCTGAAAGAAGACATATCAAGATTTAATTTCAAAACCACTTGTGGCAATATGCATGCAAGGAGTGTATGAACTGAGAAGGAAGTTCACCTCTGTGTTGCCTGCAGTTGGGTGCTCGATGCGCCTCAGTAACGCCATCACTCTCTTCTGAAGAGCTGCTCTCCCTACAAAGGGCACAGAACAGTTTTTTGAAAACCCACCTACATCAAATCTGTGATCTTTGAAAGCAATTACTGAACTAAGAGGAACACATCCCCTTAAAGTGTTTAGAAAAGGCAGCCTCCTGTTACACTGTAAAATCCTCATGAACTCAGTCACCCAAATTCTTTACACTTTCTAGCAATTCTAGAAATTGAGATATTTCAGGAAAAGCCAGAGCAGAATCAAATCAAGAATCTCAACCTGTTTGAAGAACTCAAACACAAAGAACAGTCTTATCATCCAGGTAGAAAGGTGTTTAACTGACTCCTGACCCTCACCTGTTGACATCATGTTGCTGACAGATGCAAACTCCATGAAAGTGTTGTAGTTGGGCAGGAAATTGTGCACCGAGACTTCATCCACCCCACACCTGATGTCGGCCTCCTCGCAGAGGTGCCGGAAGCAGGACATGGCCACCAGCACTGCCTCGATGTCTGGGCTCCACAGGAACATGTATAAGGCCACTTCCAGTTTGGTTTGGGCTTGGCGACAGATGGGTGTTCCGCTGCATCCCGCCGCGCTTTCCTTGGGAAACACACAATGCCCCGTTTGGGAATACTGCTGATTAACAAGGCAGTTTTATCAAGATTCAGCCTCAGCCACACCGTGTTTAAACTGCCTTTATGCCAGTAAGAATAAGCAATCCTACACAGGCTCAGAGCTCTCTATGCTGCCACGAGGGATGCCGTGTGCTTCCTAAGGAGGACACACTCATCAACATCTTAACTGAAGAAGGTGTGACTTTGTAAAGTCTGAAACATCATTATTAACCAGCATATTAAATACATACATTATTTAGGATACAGATGTCTTCTCCTCCTTAGAAATACTTAATTCTATTTTTTAAAATTACTCCCAAAGTAATTTAATTTCTATGTGCACATAGGGTTTTTTCCCAAGTGCTAAAATTAACTATTATCGTGTATTACTTACCATGGAAGAATTCCCTTTCCCCTTCCTGAGGGTAGCTCCTGGTGCACAGCGCATCATTTCTTCATGGTCAAGAGAAATTTGGCTAGTTCCACTTCCAGAGACATCATAAAGGAAGAGGAAGTGGCAGGAACTCCTATCTGACTGCTATGAAAAGAGGGAAGAAAAACAATATATCAACATAGTTTTTAAAACGTGCAAAAAGGATAGATTTGAGGAAGGTAAAAGGATCCTCAACATTTACACGGTACTTTTTCCACTGCTGCTCTCAGGGCTTTATAAAGTTACCCACATTAATGGTATCTTAGAATGGCATTTCCCTTAAGAAATACACTATTTGATATTTTAAGATTATCAGAAAGAAGCAAATCAGAATTCTGAGACTCAGAGGAACCTGAGATCAAAAAGGAAACTTTTATTTTATCCATGTAGGTCTACATTTTACCACAACTACTTTCTCTTTTTCTCACTTTGGGGTCTGGTTCCCTTTGTATTAGGGCATAAGGCATAGGTTTCTGTGAAACACATTTTCCAGGCAAGTAAAACAACCTATATAGCTAAAGTAAAAAAGAAAATAAAAATCCCAAACCTAACTGTGGTTAACTTTTCTAACTGAGGTGCCTCACAAAGCAGAGAGGAAATCAGAGAACAGAAAGTGTAGGTGTAGCTATTAAATTTCTTCCAATCATAAGAATAGTGTGGTAAATAAAGGAAGTGACAAAGCAGAGAACAACGTGTGTTGATGATCCTAACAGAGATGGCAACACTCACTTACTTTGTTTTTTAGAAGAAATTTATTCCTACAGATGAGAATCTCTCGCAGCCACTTGAGGATTTCCGTGCTGCTCAGCATCTGATGGCTCGTGAGCTTCTTGCAGATATAAAAAAGCATTTGTGAACTGCAGCAAAACGAAGTTCAGCGTTAGCCTCAGCTGTGGGACCGCCGGGGTGAAGGTGCTGCACTGCACTTCCCATGGGAACAGGCCCTGTGCATGAACACCCTGTGCAGGGCTAACACTGGCCCTTGGAATGTCCCACAGAGAGCAGAGTGTGCACTGGGAACACCCAGCTCCCCTGGGGCCCTGCCCACCCCCAGCAGCCTGCTCAGCTCCTGAGGCCCTGCAGCCATGGGGTCCTGTCCCAGGTGGGGTCCTGTCCCAGATGGGGTCCTGTCCCAGCCCACGCTCGGGGCCGTGGGCTCGGGGTGTCCAGCTCTCCCCAGACAGATACAGCACAGACAGGGCAGGACAAGGTTACCTACACTGCTCTGACAACGCCTCAACTCTGCTCTGGAAGGAACACATCTAGGGATGTTCCTTCTTCATATCCATTCAGGCCTCACACTCTCTGTTAAAACTGCCAAAGGGTCCAAATTAGTGTCAGCTGGGATGGGTTTTCCCCCAGCCCGAACAGAGCACAAACCCGTTGCTGTTCCTACAAACTACAGCCCTGGGTGTCAGTTCCTGCCTGTCCAGGGGGGTCAGCCCAGGCTTCCTCCTACACTGCTGTTCCCTCCTTCTCCACCAAACATCAGCACCAATTCACAGTAAAGCACCAAATACTATTGGGTTTATTACTTAGCTCATGCAATTCTTACAATTCCGAGTTTACAGATTCCTATTTTTTGGTTTAGCATTTTGTGTAATTTTGACTTTTTTGGAACTTCATTTCCCTTAATATTCTCCAAGAAATCAACCACAACAGCTGCTGTGAACTTATAAAGGCAAGATGATTTTAATTAATTAAATTTTCTCATAAATATACAAGAAAGACCAATGGAGACTGCAGGTCAGGCCAAGCTATCACCTTCTTTAGGGGAGGGCTTCAGAGTCAGGATTAGCAAACCCACACTTCTGGAATTGCTCAGCATTAACCTCCCCTTAGTCCCAAAAGGATGAAACAGAATTTAAAAAGTAGCGATCATTTGAATGAGGGGGGAAATCTCCAACTTTTCAAACTAATAATCATTTCTACACCTCAACATCTGCTGAAGAGTGTCATTAAGGGAGCCAGCAAAATGTTTGTTATATTTTTATTAAATTTGTATAGTGTAAGGAAGATACAACTTCTCCATGACAATTCTGACTGCAGATTCCTGCTGTTGTTGCAAAGCTTTCCCGAAATACTCACAGCTATTTAAAAGAAGACAAATCATAACAGCTATTTCTCTCATTTACAGAAGTTAATTTACATACCTGATTTCCCAGAATGTTTCTATAGGAGCATCAGGATTCCACAAGTCAATGCTGTCCAGCTGGTGCAGAACCAGCAAGGCCTAAAGTCAAACCAAAGAGTCTTGCTTAAAGACAGCAATTCACAGGGTGCACGAGCACAGGCAGAGAAATAGCTGCAGGCACACATCCATTACATTGTTTTGAACATAAGATGTAAAAAGCATGACAGAAGGATTATACAAAAGAACAAGAATTCATTGTTAGTCCACATCAGAGGTATTTCATTTCAGAATCTTTATCCCACATTCATACTCCAAACCTAGAGGTTTTCCCCTGTATTTCCACACAAAGCCATCCCAGGCACACAGACACAATGTTTGTAAAAGACAGGTTCTGGCTTTAACATTACCAATGCCAGTGCCTGCCCCAGTGCTCACCTCCATGGCCTCCTGGGCTATGTCTGGCATGCTGGACTGTGGCACCAGCTGGACGAGGCCTGTGATCAGCTCTGCCGTGCTGCCCTGGGTCTCAGGGCCCTGCTTCCTGGGATTCTGAACAGCAACAAGGGAAGCAAATTTAAGCTGGAGAACTTTTTAATGCCTGCCCACATTACTGACTGCTACAGCAGCATTCCTCTGGTTGAACCAGGTGGATTTTGAGATCTTTAGGAGAGTCTGTGATTTTATTTTTAATCCATGGAAACCCCTTGCATGTCATGTCTTGTTTAAATTAAACAATGACAGACCTGAGAAAATGGAAGATCTAAGACTGTATGTCTTTCTACTCATTGAAATTATGACTAATTTCCAACCTCCTTATTTTAATTTTCTTCTATTCCCCTCTCCTTCCCCCATCTTCCCCTTCAGAGTCACAGAACTTGATGCTCCTTCTCATTGTGTTGCTCTGATTCTACACAATCTATTACAGTTTCTTTTTTGTTCTATCTTTTCCCTTTAAAATCACAGGAGCATCATAACCAGAGACAAGGATGAGTAGGACGTGTCCTAGATGCCAGGTGTATGTTTTTAATCTTTATTCATTTAGCAGCTTCAAAAGTAAACTCCACCACAAATGAACAGTGCAATAGTGGGATATACTTACACACAGCAAGAGCTTTGGATCTGCATGGATCAGTTTTACCAAGGACAACAGCAGGAACTTGTAGCTCCTGGTTTCCAAATCAGTAGGTTTTTCTTTAAATTTAAGGCTTGTCATTTTCTCCTTAAATGTAAGACTCTGATGGAAGGAAAAACAGTCACAGTCCTTGTCAGGAAGGTAGTCAAACATAACAGTTACAATTAAACATCTTATGAAATGTATTGCTTTTGTAACCTATAACTCAAGACAAAGTTTAGAAGTATACGAAATTCAAGTATAGTTGCACAGCCTTCTACTTCAAAATCCCCCTCTCCCACAGGCAACCCCTTCACTGAACCTTTGAAGTTCCTGTAAGAATTGTTTCAGTGAGCTGTACGTGGACATAAAAGTTTTTGCATAAGAAACTATGGCAAAATCTCAGTTTACTCAAGACTTTTTCCAAGACAGCCAAGAATACTGACTTTATTTCATAATGCTTGAAAAATCTTTATTTTATTGCTGTCACCAAGACCAAACAGTCAACTTGCTCAACAGAAAGCAAGACAAATGAAGACCTACTCGTGCCAACCGTGGTAAAAGCACTGCAGTTTTCAACAATTATCTTTACATACAGAATGCTTTTGTTTTTCAGATTAAGCAAGAAGGGATGTGTTACCCTGCTATTCACACAGCCAGAAAGCTTAAAATGGACAGTTAGCCACAGAAGACAGAAGAAATACTTCTACATTGCCAGTTTAAAAGCAGCAGGAAACTGGAGAAACATGGAACCAGAAAGAGTCACTCCCCCAACACCTGCAGGGTCACAGAGCACGTGTGGCTCTCTGCTGCTTTGTGTCCTTCCCCTCTCTAGGTTCCCGTGTAAAGCCAGTGACTCCGAAGGCTGGGCTGGCTGGAGCCATGCCCAGGAGCAGTGTGCTGGGGCAGCCCAGCAGCCTTACCGGGGTCATGCGGATGGCGGGGTGGGCCCCGCAGCCCTGGATGGCCTTGTGCAGGGTCTCGCTGAACATGCTGCGCAGCTCCACCGAGTGGCAATACACGGCATCGATCCGGGGCCACCAGTCCAGCGCCGACTGCAGGGGACAGCCAGGCTGTTAACTGCTGCTGCAGCACCCCCACCCTGCTGTGCACCTCCCAGCTCACACCCGTGTGACACAGTGCTACCCACACGTCTCCTTCTCATCCTCAAACTCATGATACACAAACGAGCTGCAACAGAAGAGCTAATTCCAACTTGGCTGCTCACTACATCACTCTCCTACCTGAACAAACTGAAACCAGAAGTGCAGAAGGGGGTGGCAGATGAACAACTGCACAAACTTTCAAAATATTTTCATCTCTCAGCACTTACCCTTATTTCACACTACTTAGATCCCCAAAGAAAACCACAAGGCCAGCTCTACCCCAGGTCAACAGACTGCAAGTAGCAGAAGGTGGTGCAACTGTGCATGTCCTGAGAGTGGTTTTCAGGTATCAATATTTATCATAAAACCACAGATCATGAGATTTGTCATCCTACATCAGAGGGATATGTACATCTCTGTACTGAAATGTTATAGATGTTATACTGGAATCTGGGCTCTTACACTGGGAATCCACTGGTGGGAAGCACAGGCAGATTTGCACGCTCTTCCTTATTAGCAAGCAACTCCTGCTGCATGGACACGAGCAACAAGATTTGGTCTACTCCCCAAACTGCATTTACTAAGCAGATATTGATCTGAATAGAAGCCCCAGATCCCTGGGCTGATGAAATACTGCCAGAACTTACATTTGTGATAATTCGGTGGAGCGAATTTACCAGCACATAATGAAATGTTGATGGGGAATTCTGTGCCAAGCAGATCTACAATAAAAATACATAAAAGCCACTTAGGAACGTCTTTGTCTTTCCCATCTTTCTTATCACACTGAATAACATCTTGAAGCCTTTTTATTAAATTGACAAAGCTGTCAAATCTGAACAAGGGAAGCCTAATCAGCCGGGGAAAGTTTTATAATAACATGCAGGGATTTATTACTAAGGGATATTTATACAGCTGAACTCATTTCTGAGCTTCCAGCTGCTGCTAGCACAGCTTTTGTAACTGACAGGTCGTCAATGGCATGCAGAGAATGACTTACCAGTAAGTGCTGTGCTCACCTTGAAGTGTTGGTTGTTGTGAGGATTTATGCGGAAGCAGGAAACCAAGCAGTCAATCATCAGGTCTACATCTGCATTCTGATTGCCTCTTGAGAAAGGTTTGCTTGGGTTAAACAGCAGGTTCTATTTATTTCAGAAAAATGCAAACATGTAAATAAGGTACCAAGATTATTCCCGTCTACTTTCAATATAAAACTTTCCAGTGAAAACCACTGGTAATCAACTAAGGAGAAATTCAAAGTTTATTTCTGTATTTTAAAACTCAAATTTCTCACTGCAATTAGGAAACAGACATTTTTACCTTAAGATCTAGTACCATGGACTGCACCAGCAGGAAAATGACAGAATTATCTTCCCAGTTGATGTAGGTAGATGCTTTGCACAGTTTAACACAAGCAATAGCAGCACTTTCAGTCAGCTGCCTGCTCCCACCATGGCCTGCAAGGGCCTTCCTGAGATTGTCCAGGAACAGCTTCTGCAGAGTTCAAACCAGGAACAGTTATAACCAGATATTGGGATGGCAAAAAACAACTTGATGCAACCCTCTGGGGAAATTCTATATTTATTAATGCCATTCCCTTTGGTGGGTCTGGGGCAATCAGACTGGCACAAACAGAGGTGGTTGTTCCCTCTCAGCCACGTTTGCAGCCACATCAAACTCGACACCAGCTGCAGGTGCAGCAGCCATGGAGCACAGAGCACACTCTGCAGGCCCCACAACTCCTCAGCACAGCCAAACACCAGCAAGGCTCCCATTGCTGCTGCTGGAGGCAGAGGAGATGACAGCACAGAGGGTCAAATCTCCAAGGAGATGGAGAAGTTCTGAAATGACACTGTTTGGGACATACTATCCATATGAATTACTGACAGTGAAAGAAGATATGTGAGAACTCAAAAGGGGTGCATAAATTTACATAGGGAACTGCAATGTGCTCTTTAGGCAGGAAAGACAAAATTAAATACACCTGAAATATAGAATCAGCAAAAGTAAGCATCCTCCAGAAACCAGAGCCAGAATTCAGCTGTCTTACCTTGTTCATTTTAGTCTCCTCTACCACATCCTTTGCTATATCTTGGATTATCTCTGGACACAGGACCAGGAGGATGATCTGCAGTGGCCACACTGCTGCTTTACGCTTCGTGCTCTCAGCAAAGCCATCCACCAAGTCAAACAACTTCTCAGCACAATCTGCAGAAAACATAAGCCCAAGTTCAATACCAGTTTTAATTCCAGAGACAAATAGGTATAAAAGAGCAGAGGAATAGTTCCATCTACACAGAAGAAAGGTTCTCTTTTGCACATTACTGGCATGCTACTGGGGATAACATGGTCTCAACCCAGTTAAAGATATGGTTTATCCAAAAATATAAGTTTTCCTCTCTTTGTCACTAGAGAAAAATAAAGGTGATGTTGTCTAAGTTTTTGTCCTGTATCAAGATGAAAAATATACATTCAAAGAGTCTCCATCTTTTGGGGTTTATTTCTTTGTGTTGTGAAGCACAATAATAATCTCTAATAGGGGAGTCAGGAAAGAAGAGAGATGGCAACATGACCTTACCTGCCCTGGCAAAGGTGACAGAAATTTGTTTATTTGCAGGCTGCACAAGGAGCAAAGAGGGCACAAAATGCAAGTGAATGCATTTTGGGGATGTCTGAGAGACAGCCTTTGAACACTGTCATGTGTTATGCCTTACCAGCCATGTCAGTCTGGGGTGTTTGGTACAGCTTTGTGAATTCATCAGGATAGTTTTCCACCCAGTTCCAAAATGCCTGCAGATAATGCAAAACACCTTTTCATTCCAGAGCTTTCAAACAGTTTTTCTGAATTATGTATTTAAATGAAGCTAGATTTTATTCTTAATTCTAATCACACAAAATTTCTAACAAAACATATTTGCACCAAAGGGAGGCAACCACTTATATTTTATAGTAAATCACTGAATTGCAACTATTCCTAAACTAGAGGAAGTCTGCAAATAAGCAATGAAAGACAAGCATTGAAACCTTACCTTTTCCAGACTGTTGATAACAGCTAACTGAGCTACTTTCTTAAGGGCTTTAAACTTGAATACAGTCTCTGTAAAGATAAAACATTTCTGCACTTAGAACAGGAACTTGGATCTAAAAAGCAACACAGGTTATAAAAGACATTTGAAGTGCAAAGCAGTTTTCAAACCGATGTTTTTATGCTACTTAACTATTTTAAAATATTTTGGTAAATATATGACTGTTTGGAGTAAAACAGGGCAATAAAAGATATATCAATTGCAGTGTCATCTCTGACTAACCAGACTGAAAAAGAAGTATTTCAAAACACAGGCTCAAATCATACCTTGCAAGAGTCTCTTGAGTTTGGAACAATCCACACTGATGTACTGTAAAAGTTCAATGTCGTGAACATCAGCATTATCTTCTGAGCAAACAGTCAGTTCCTGCAACCTAAAAATAAGCAAAGTAAATTAAATCCATCATATCATGTCAGACAGGTATGAACACACCTAGCATTCTATACATTTCAGTAGCAGGGAACATTCTGTGACCTCCTCATAAACTACCATCTCCTCAGACAAACTTTTCCACATTTAGAAATAAAAGATGGATCTTGCATGATTAAGAGTTAATATTATAGTCTTATTACACCCTCATACCAAAAATGGAGCTAGAAATACCAGTGGTGAGCCTTACAAAATGCCAATACCTTCTGGTGTTTGTGCCCAAGATTTGCCTAAATCCTTGTGCTACCCACCCTACTGTAGCAGTAACCTTGTCATCTTTTCAACTAAACATGAGATTAATGGAATCATAACACCTTTAGGCTACTGCTCCTTAGCAGCAAGTCCTGCCCCAGCTAAGTTCTCAGAGTAAAGCAGAGACTGATGAGCCTTGGTATCACTGGACTGAGCTACAACCATTCTTGGTGCACAGTTCTGTGGCCTGAGTAAACAGGATGAAGTTTAATCACACCAGTTTAAACACAATGGCATCTTTTCACACTTGTGTATCAGATAATTTACTCAACATCTCACAGACACCAGGCCACTAACAACTAGAGCATATGTTCCCACAAACTCAGACTGCCCTGGCTCGTTCCAAAGCTACAGATGTGTTTCAGACATGGAATGTGATTTCTAGTACTAGACACAAAAGCAGTTCTTCATTTCTCCAACGCCAGGAAACTTAACAGCCCTCGCTGGGAATGGGAAGGTCCCCACTGCTGTGCTTTTCATGCCAAAACTCCCCGAGCTGCTGTGCAAGGCCCAGAAATATTCCTAAACAGGAAACCCAGGTCAGAGATCAGCAGTGCTGACTGCTGGAGTGACCCCTGTGGAGACCAGAGGGCTGGTCAAACATTTAACTATTGCTGTGCAAGCCATGTGAAGGGAAAAACAGTTCAGGGGAAAGCACTCTGCTCTGGCTCAAAGGGCTGGGAAGGAGGGCTTTGGAGCTTGGGAACAAACCGTGCTACAAATACATGCAGATCCACAGACTGGATTCACAGGCTCAAAAAACTGTAACTGAAAAATACTTCCTATAAAGGGAGCAAAAGAAATTGTTTCCATTTCCATAAGCAACAAAACACAATCAACCTATTGAGTAAAACCACATCCTTCATGCTAGCTGCCAAGTCTGTCTTGAAATAAAAGTTATTAAAGGCTCTGTAAAAACTCTGAAAATAGTTCAGAATTAAAATTAATCATTTTAGACTGATTTCTAAAATGCAAATATTTTCCAAAAGAATAGATAAATACATAATGAAAATATAAATCTTTGTTTCCATTAAATTGGCTCACTCACTGCTGTGTGACCACAGAAGGCTGCCCGAGCTCCACTTCTATTACAGGATGATCTCAGCTGTTATATACTGTGTGACAAGAGCTAAGCTGCTTCAAACACCTTTCAAGAAACATCAAAGTATTTCAGGAATAAAAAGCTTAACACCACTGTAGTGGACTGACAAATGCTGAAGCATCAGAAGGATCTGGAACAGGGCAAAACCAGCAAAGAATAGATGGAAATTTTGTGCTTGTCTCCCTTCTCACTCAGAAAAGCAGAAAACCCAGTTATTTTTACAGTAAATGTGTTGTGAAACTCAAGTCAGTCAGAAGACAAATGGGTCTTTTCCCATAATTAACAAACAGCCCAGCTGTTTGTCCCCTTCAGGCATAAGACAGATTTAACATAAAAGCCTCCTAGCTGGAAAAATTAGACAGGAAAACAGCCTGGGGGCTCCAGCAGAGCTGTGGACAATCTCCAATTTTCCCTCTAAATTTGTAAGTAAAGGGATACAACCCTTTAGCTTCAGCATCCTTTTATTTCCAAGACACCTTGCACCCAGAAGAACTCTACTCAACTTACTCAGCTGAATGATTTTCATTCATTATTTTCACCTGTACTTTTGAAAGCAGATTAAAAAAGCAATAAATGCAGCTCACAGGAAGCATGTCAGCAGTAACCCAGGACGGGCAGGGAACAGGTTCAGTTTGTAACCTGGAACTCAAGGGAAATGTTGAAAGGAGCCCCACTGGAGAAGGACCTTGCCAAAGAGCACTTTGCAGTGTGTGCACAGGCAGCCCCAGGAGCGGGCAGGGGGTGCTGCCAGCCCCGTACCTGGTGGAGATGCGGCTGAAGACGGCGTTGAAGTTGTTGCAGCTGAGGGAGAAGAGCACCCCCGAGGCGGAGCTGCGCAGCTCGGCCGCGTGCTGGTTGCCCTCGCGGTACGTGTGGATGAAGTGGCAGATCTCGGGCAGCAGCTGCTTCACCAGCATCGTCTCGTCCAGCCTCATGGTGTCCTTTGGTTGCTAAAAATAAACAAGTGCTCGACTGAATTCTGGTCTGGAGGCAAAAAACCTGGAGCATCTGCCACGAGCAGGCCCAGGGCCTGGGGCTGCCCTCCCGATCTGCCCCAGGTTCCACCGAGCACGGCCCAGGGGCTGCACAGAACGGCTGCTCTCCATCCCAGCAACAGCCCAGCGTGGCCAAACCACCCCACACTCCCAGCTAAGGCTCCGAAAGAGGGAGGACACGAGGCTGATCAACATCATCAAGTATGAAGCAAAACACCAAACTGGTTTTTGAAGTAACCCACCCTTTGTTCTGATGAGGGCACCCTGGAAGCTGCTCTGAGTCAAGGATCAGCAGAGCACGAAGGCTAAAGGGCAAAGATTCACCCTCACATCTCTTTTGGGTAAGATCTTGCTCACTACGTTTTGACAGCGAGTATTTTACACTAAAAAATGAACCAAAAAAGAGGTGTTTCTCCCTGGTTCTTGCTGGGGGTTTCTCTATATGAGTCAAAAATGGCTTAACTTCCCTGCAACAGAAAAAAATCTAATTTTTGCCAATGTGCACAGTGTGAGACATAAGGAAACTATTTACAAAAGAATTCAAAGTGAAACTTTGCTCTACTGAGAGCAAGTTTTAACAGAAGGGTCAGCATTAAAGCTTTCTAAAATTTTACCAATGAATTTTCCACAGGGAATTGGGAAGTTTCAGAGACTCCCACTTACTTGACCTGAGTCCTGTTGCCATGAGAACTTGATGAAACATTGAGCAAGAAATACATCTGAAGATACCACAGAACACAACACGCTTTGTACAGACCTTTGGCTCACTCTTATTTAACATATTCTGCCTCAAACCGCTCTCATTTGAACTGACAGAGCAAGAAATATTCAGCACAAATTTAGGCTGTTTAAATGGAAAATGTATTTACCTGGATCTTTTGTGATTTTAGAAGAATCCACAAATATTCAGACCAGTTTAGTACTGTAAGATGGGTTGCTTGACAGGTCAAACCATAGTAAGGTCATTACCTTACACAGAAAGAACCTTCTAAAACTGGTGCAGGGAAACAGCAAAGAGCTCAGATGATTTCAGGACATTCCTCCAGGAATACAGCTTTAAAATCAAATCCCTTCTTGTTGGAGGAATACAGCACTGCAAGTGCTGCTCCCAGTGCAGTCTGGCTCTGCAGTCCCAGCCCAGCCCAGCCCGTGTCCAGCCAGCACTGCTGTCACCCACAGGGACCAGCAAAGTGCCTCTCACAGCTCTGACTGCAGGGCTTGGACAGGGCCAGCAATGCAATCTAGGAAACACCTGCAGAACTCATCTGCACAGCAGTGCCAGCAAAGGTGCTGCTGCACAGAAACGTACGTGGAAAAGGGCTTCAACAAATGAAAGCTTCAAGAAATGCAAAGAAAACTCAGCACTGTCTGCAGAGAACTCAGCAGCAGGAAACAAATACTTGTACTCAATTATCTGCTACTTTGAACATGATTTACTATCAGGTTACTTTTTCTGTTTAAAGGGATGGAAATGTTTCAATGTATCTGTTCAGGAAATACTGAGCAGGATACCCCACCAGCATTCAAAGCCTACAAAAATCTAGTGAAGCTTCATAACCACCTCTAATCTTTGATTGGGGTTTGTGTCTCCCCTTACTCCAGTTCATACCTGACTGAGTAGAGTTGTCCAGTTGTCTACAAATCCTTTTATCAAGTTATTAAATGAAAACCATTACTTATAACTCTACAAATTTGTTGAATGGCAGAACCGGCAACATCAAAAGTTTACTAGAATCTATTTAGCAGAAAAAATGTCACTAATTCCAGGCAAAAAAAAAGCACCCTCCAAATCCTTAATGTATCAATTATCTCAACTACATGTATTTATAGGAAGCTTTATTATTTTTTAAATGGCATTAATCCTACTTTGCTATAGATTTGATCAGTTTTAACTTTAGTACCAGTAATAACAGACACACAAGCATTTGACTTGTACTCTCCAACCCATTTGATTCCAACTTAGCAATTGCTTATGCAAGCCTACTCACCCCTGCCAGACATTTTTCCAGTGTATCCAAGATAATCAGCTGAGATAGATACAAATTCTTTTCAGCAGTTTCTCCAAATATTCTCTAGAAGTAGAAAGGATTCATCTGAGACACAGAAATTTGACTTGCAATGCACTAAAGTAAAGTAGCAAAGTGGCTACATAAGCTATAAAAACCATAAAAAGAAGCACTGCCAGAGCCTGGCCAGCTGTGTTACCTGTCTGGGGAGAGTCCACACGATCACAGATCACGTGGCTCCAAAACTCAATGAGCTTTTCTCGTGATAAATCCAAACCCACCTGAAGCACCTTCCCATGGCAAACCTCCTCCCCTGAGGCAGCACAGCCTGTGCTCCGAGCCCCGGGGCAGTGTCAGGTACCTTCTGTACCCCAGAGCTCCAACCTCACACCCGCCCAGCTGCAGACCCCACACTAACAGAGGATTCCCCTTAACCACCTTTGGATTTCTCTGCCCCAGCTCCCACTGCCTTTCTGTGGCTCCAAGAGATGCTGCTGGTGAACTTCAGAACAGAAAAAATTAAGTGTACAAGGCAAGCAACAGTTTGACTAAATTTCAAGTAATTCTCTGCAGATTGTACAACACAAATAAATAGCAACCACTTGAATAAAATCACCAAAAAATGTAAAATTAGAAAACTTACCATGTTATTAACATTTTTTAAGATAGTAGTGAGACCACTGATGACCAGGGAAAACTTGTACTTGGAAATGTTGATGAGACATTCCTTGTTGTGCTCCGTACTGACTTTGGTGTGGGTATTCTGCTGGCAAACCTTGATTGGAAGCTACAAGAGAAAACTGTTATAAGCTTTTTCAGAGCTTTAAAGATGAGTTAAAAATTTGTGACACACCAGAAACAACCTTGAAAAACATTCTACAAGAGACAACTGTAAATATGTTTTCATTTTCTCTACATTCATATTTCCATTAGTTATCTATAAAACAAAATGCTGAAGTTCACCTGTTCCTTTCTCTGAATTGAAAGTAAACCTCTATTTTGTGATAATTTTTCTACAAACTGAATGTCAAAGCAATCCAAAAGAACAGAAAAATGTAAGACAGAATTCTAAGAAAAGATTGTTTATTTCAAAAATTAGCTCATTAAAGAACAAAAATCTCCAAGGTTAATACATGCAAGAAAAAAAAAAAAAACCCAAACCCTTTTGGGCCCTGAGAGGAGGTAAAATGAGGTAAAATGCCAGGAGCTCCCAGAGCAGGCTGGGAGGCAGCAGCAGTGGCTCCACGTGTGCTCCCTGCTCTGGCACAGGACAGAAGTGGCCAAGAGGCACCAGCAAGGCCTGGGAGGAACCAGCACTGACCCTGCAGCCCCCAAGGACGTGGTGACTCAGGGGTCCCCCAAAAACACTCCCAGGAGATGCAGCTCAGCTTCCAACACACCTCAAGCACCTTTGAGCCCCATGTTACCTGTCCCTGCCCAACACCCAGTGGGACAAACCAGACCTGAAACGCATCTTTTCCAGGCAGGAGAAGATTCAGAGCGACTGCACAAGCCCGAGATGTTCCTCTTGCTGTGTGAACAATGGGCACTTTTTTTCCTGCCGTACCCAAATTCTTCAGGGGTCACAAACAAGTCACTTCCCAGGCACCCACCCACTGCCCCTGCCCACTCAAATGCCCCGAGAACATCAGAGAGGCGACTCTTCAGAAAAACATCTCACTGAGGGTTTACAGTGTTTAAAAGCAAACAAATGCAGCAGAGTTTGTGCTGTTTGTGTTTTGAAGTGTGACCTTGGAATTCCCTATTCATAGAAACTTGAATTGCTACTACAAGTTTTAACAAATTTTGGCTAGAACTGTGGCTAAACCTGTATTCTGAACGACACCGACAGCTCAGTGGAAATGCCACGGTGCAGGATTTGTGCATTGGGAAGATTACCAGAGAGAGAGAACTTGAGAGGGTAAAAGAAGGATTCAAAGGAATCACAATCAGCTTTACAGCTGCAAAATGCTTCAAGAGCCACCTCCCAGGCTGGGGGCTCTGGGGAGGGCACCCTTCCCACCAGCAGCCCCCAACACCTCTGCAAGCCCCTACACCCCTGGCTGTGATGGGAGAGGCTGAAATGCCTGTGTTTAGAATGCAAGATGAGGCAAAGAACCCAGCTTGGAACACTTTTGCTCAACAGTTCTGAGTGCATGTCCTGGGGCTGGGAAACGGGCCTCCACCACACTGATGCCCAGGGGGGATTCCTCTCTGTACAAGCTGAGCTTTGGTTTGGGTTTAATTCAGCTCTTTTGGTACCAGGGACTGGGGTCCCTCTGGAGGTTGGCTGTCTTTCCTAAGAGTGACTGTTCATCCAAGGGAAGTGGGAAGTGGCAGGTTAGGTGAGCCCAAAGCCCCCGGAGCACTGGCAGCTCCCTGAGGAAGGCACTGCCTCCAGGAACACCCTGAGGGCTGCTCCTCCAGGAGAGGGTCTGACACCCTCACCTGCACACCCTCCCACAGCACCACAGGGCAATCCAGGTCATCTCCACTGAAATCTGTGATTCCCTGAGTTCCCAGGGCGATGATTTACAGCACCACAGGGCGCTTCCCTGGGCTCATTTTAACCCCAGAAAAGCAGAATAAACACCACCTATGACTCAAGCTTTGTTTTCACTGTTAGATGTTATTTTACAACACATTATTGGAAGTCATTGGTGGATGACAGATATATTTAATTTGAAAATTCACCATTACTAGTACTTCTTATTTGAATTTTCAAGTCTCTGTGCTGACAGCAGCAGCAAAGCTCAACACCACTGAGTGCTAAAACACTTCAGAAGAGCCTCTCAAAGAAATTGTGTCATAGATCTAGTTCTGTGTGCTCCCATGCCAGAGAAAAAAAATCACATTACACACTTCTGGAGCTTCCTGCCACAACAGCCACTACAACAAGGTCATCTAGAAGTAACACTGCTTTTTATACTATCTTTTAAAATAGGAAACTATATAAAAAGGAAATATTAGCACTGTTATTTTGGGTTTTTTATTTCTCAGCTATTTCCTTTGTGCACTCTGACGCTGAAGCATTTCATTTCCCCTCACAGAAGGCAGTGCCAGTGCTGAGTGACCAAAGAGAATCTACTTCACTCCTCTAGAAATACCTAGTAATCTAAACACTGGGGGGGAAAAGTTGAAATTTTACTTTCATTGCCTTTGATTTTATTTTCAAAAAAAGAAATACTGACAAATAGTTTCCTGTAGAGCTATTTGAATTAGAAACAGGATTTAAAGCACAGAGCTTAAATATAACTGGGGCTTCAAACCCTGAACACATCCCGTTCTGAGCTCGGCCCAGGTTAGCAAAGGGACAGTCACTGCTCCAGCTCTTTTCACTCTGAAACAGGGAGCAACAGCCAAAGAGCTGGGACTGCCCTGGGGCAGTACAACCCACTGAGGTGGGCTCCACAGCCCCCACCCCTCCCTGATCCAGCCTGACCCCTCCTGACGCTGTCAAAAAGGGCTCAGGCAACAACAGCATTTCCATCTAAAATTGCCCTTATGTCATGCAGGGGACAAACACAAAGGAGATGAAATCTGGAGCCTTCCCAGCCACCAAATTTTAAATCTTTGAGAGGGAAAAAAGAAAAAAGAGATTTACTGGGCACTCTTTAGAGGCAAATTATAAATTTGGCTTTGAAAGACTTCAGTAAGTGCCACTAGAGAAATGCAAAGCTGTAGAGAAGTGCCAACACTGTGGTACCTGATGGCTCGCCTGTCATAGCAGCACAGGTATCCAGGGAACAGGCAGCACCCACCAGCACAGGTATCCAGGGACAGGCAG